CTTCGGGTAACTTCATCTTTGCAAGCAGAAACGATTTTTAAATCACCTAATTGACCCCGGTCACTTATGTTGGTCATCCGTCCATACGGAATGCGAACGACCTATAGAACCAAACATATTGTGTTCATTTACACAGCTGGACGATCAGTCTCCAATAAGGAGCTATCCTATTTCAGATCTCCTCGTGACTCAAATTACAAAACGACCAGGAATTATGTGGGAATGTACTAAGCATGTGGATAAGGAACTCGCAAAAAGCAGTGATATTGACTTTTTCATCGTGTGATAATTTGCTTTCCCTCAAGTCACGGAAAAACCCACTGGTTAAATACGAACACAAAGTAAATGACCAAACGTATGCAAGGCCCCACAGAATGAGACGTGNACGTGTGTTGTATGTCCTAATCGATCAAAACGAGGCAGTTGATTATCATGCGTCTGCATATCACAGCTCCTTTTAGGAACTCCCCACATCGTTTGAGGGTGGTAGGACCTCGGACTTTGGAAACCACAGGTGCAATCACCATCCACCGCATGAAGCCGACAAAATTTACCTCAAACTCTCAACGTTCTCTGGTAGAATTAGGCTAAAGTAGCTTATAGATACAAAACAAAATTAAAATAATTAATTCTAATTATGTCATCCGAAAGTTAAGTTCATCTGAAGTGGTTCGTCTTAACTCGCATAGCCCATCCTCTTTGTGAGTGACCCTCCATACTACCTGAATATACATATTATTACACAAGGTTGGGAATGAAAACACCGAATATGTGCTCATCGAAATTATGGATTATAATTCTCGTATTGGGAATATTTCGTAATTTAGAATCTTCCACTGTGGTATGCAAACTGAGTGAGTTCATCAGTCTCCAATCAGATTTTATAAGGACAAACATTTTATGAATTTCATCAACCTCACAGACCACTGCAACGAAACATCGTGATGCTCAACCTCATCTTGATGGTGAACCGCTGGGACATCAAGGTATTTATCAACTGGGTAAAACCCAACTC